CGTATCTAAACTCCACTACCAGTTATCGGTCATGTTTGTTTGCAAATGTTTCATTTTCATTAGAAAGGAGTAGGTCTCAGTTGCTAGGAAACCGTACCGGGAGCCGGGTTACGACGTGGGTATCGGTATATCACTTGTATTACAACTGTTTCTGTTGTTACTGTGTTGTTCTAGCCATCAAAGGAGATCGTTTCAGGGTTCAGGGCAGCCATGACGTTACCTTCTGCTATTGTGCGAAACACTCGTCAGCTGATTCATCTACATGCGCTACGATGTGTATCAAACTCACCCGCGGCCAATGAGTGAGTTGAGTCAATCGTCACGATTATCTCTTTGAGTTACGATGGTTATGTAGACCAAATTACGGCGGAATGTGCCTCTTTGGGGTGAGGGGAGGGAAGAGAAGCACCAGACGAAGCCAGTCATGTCTGTCCCACACGATTTTGTGGTGGTTTCTGCATTTTTTATTCAAGGGTGTTAGCCACGATGAAGCGGTTGGGGAGGGGAGGGGTCGCGTTGGCGCGAGTAAAAGCCTGCTCGTCTGCGTTATCCCACCGAGACAGTGGTTCCTGCCCAAAAGGGTATAGTGTATATCGTTCACTTATGAACGAAGACGGTTTGCAGCTACGCGAGTAACATTGGCGCCAGGACCCAATCAATTCAGGGGCCGTGTCGCTGGCGTATAGGATGGTCTTGAGTGGCCCTTCGGAGAGTGGCTTTTCCATGAGCCCGTACAGAGCTGGGATGGAGAGGAACGGGCCATCTGATCCTTGGTGCACGCCAGTCGTGATTTCGGGATCGGGCCAAGTCCGTGCAACCATTGCTGCCACGAAGTGCGATGGAGAGCGCCGACAGAAAGCAGGGTATGTGGCAAGAGAATCGTAATTCGCCGCGCCAGTGGGCGTCGCGTGCGACGTCGCGCCCGCTAATGACGACGATTTTAGGTGGTATTAGAATAGACAATGTATGACCAAAAATAGACATAAGTGTCCACCATGTCCTTGTCTACATGAAATCCGATGCTCCAATCGAAAGGGTAGTGCAAATTAAGGAAACGTCGCGCCCATTGCCGCGCGCGACGAAGCGGCAGTTTACGATTCTCTTGCCCGTCTCCCCAGAAACCTTGTGTGGCACATGCGTGGCATAGTCCCGTGCAAAGGAAAAGAAAAGTTGTGTCACTGGTACGTCACGTCCATGACAACAAAACCTGTATTATATCGTTGTCAATAACGTCTCAAGACGCATCGTTACAGTATTGTGTGACGTCAGTGACACGTCATCTATCCTTGACAGGTGATACTGTGAACCGCATAGCTATGCTACATCAGCACATCAGTTAATGTGCCTAAAATTTTCTCAATGTTCTTCATGCAGGCCTCCACAAAAATTCGATATTGCCGTGGTGGGCGGTGGCATCGTTGGTAGCGCAACAGCTCGTCAGCTGAAAATGGAATATCCACAATTGAAAATCTGCTTACTCGAAAAGGAGAACAAATTATGTAAGTGAAGGATTTCTGCGCTTTATTTGTGCAGACACCAGCGTCTTCAGCGAACAGGACAACTATAGTTATCACAGAATGCTGAGTTATGGGCAAAAGTCGGACCACGGACGAGATTCGAACCTCTTCTGCTTACCGGCAGTTGCGTTCCCTATTACGCTACCGAGGCCACTTTTGACCACTCAGCTCAATGGCTATTTGTGCCATAGCCTTACAGCACTCACACGTTCAACGTGATGAGCCGGTTAGCCGATATCGGCAGTGAACCGCAAGGCTGAAGGCTTTTTACAAGTTTCAAGCTGATATTGTTTGTTAACTGCTGTTTAACGCCGCAGTATCGCGTACGGAAAGCTTATCACTATACTAAAAGCCTTCAGCCTTGCGGTTCACTGCCGATATCGGCTAACCGGCTCATCACGTTGAACGTGTGAGTGCTGTAAGGCTATGGCACAAATAGCCATTGAGCTGAGTGGTCAAAAGTGGCCTCGGTAGCGTAATAGGGAACGCAACTGCCCGGTAAGCAGAAGATGCGGGTTCGAATCCCGTCCGTGGTCCGACTTTTGCCCATAACTCAGCATTCTTGTGATAGCTTTCGTATCGCGTACTGCGGCGTTAAACAGCAGTTAACAAACAATAACAGCTTGAAACTATGACTATAGTTTTTCAGGCGACTGCCTGCCAAGAGCTCAAAAACTACCGATTGCAAAACGCCAAAACGCCCTGCTAGGCTCAAAACGCGGACGCGAACTATGAACGCAGTCTTACCCATGCAAACGCCGAAACACTGCTACGCTCAAAATGCGGACGCGAACTATGAACGCGGTTTAACAGCTGTTCTGAACTGCACCTAGGCCTCTCGTATTTTCACTATGGAAGTATTTTGCAAGACCCAGGCCCACATGACGACGGTGCCGTCCAGATCGAGCGGTTGTTTCACCAGCCCGCATTTCCTGTCCTATTCCTTAATTGGCATAAATCGGCTTGGAGGGGGGAGGGTGGAATGTTTTTTGTTGGCTCTTATCGATCACTGCCACTTCTTCTGTGGAGACCTGTAATATCCTGTAAATATGCAGCAGCAGGAGTTTCGTTTACGCTTAAAAATAGGTTTACAAGTCTTGACGTGGTAATTAAACAGGAGCTAGTTGGAATTTGCGCACCCCCCTCCTCATTGAGCCGAACAGCGCCGTTCAGTCCACAAGATAGATTCTCAAGTCTACGATTATTGAAAATTCCAATTGTAATATTAATTGTGGTTTTAGCACCACATCAGAGTGGTAACAACAGTGGTGTGATTCATGCAGGGATTTACTATACTCCTGGAACTTTGAAGGCGAAGCTCTGCGTCGAAGGTTCATCCCTATTCTTGTTTACTTGAATTGCACTGTAGTGTGCTCTCATGAAC